GCTGGGCTCCAGGCCCAGCGCCTCCAGCAGCTTCACCCCGGACAGAACCACGTCCACGCAGGCATTGACGCTGGGAGAGACAGAAAAGGCGTCCTGGGAAAACCAGACTGACTTCAGGGCACCTGGGAGTGCAGTGAGGTCACACCCTTGACTGTGCAGGGGGAGAACAACCAACCACAGGGAAAACAGGCACAGGAATTTCCTGATATTCTCTCCTAAAGCTTTATCTGTTTGACTGGCTTTTATTATGCTCCAAGAGGGATTTCTAACTTTCTGCTGAATGAAAACAAGGAAAGCTGCGTGGTCCAAAGCTGTTTGAGTATGTTACAATACAGGTTCTGCTTCATTTCCTGCCTTGGGCTCACTTAAAAAGAACAGGAATAGCAACAGTGGCATTTTAAATTCTTAGAAGCTTTAAAAAATATATGTATTTTGGGTTTAAAATGTACATGTGATTCAAAACTATTAAAAAGAAAACCGAAAGCATTTAAGTCAGCTCGATCAGCCTCTGGAGTTTCAACTATTCCTAATAACAAACCCACACACAACTCCACACACAGGCTGGTTCTGTTTACAGGAAGTCAAGAGAGCAATTTGTCAGTTGAAATATTTGAAAATGGCAGTTTCCACAGGACCATCCCAAACTTACAGAAATAGCATGCAGTGGAAACAGGAGAAAAATCCTGCAACAGTAAGGGAGGGATAAGAACCATTTCAGCAGATCCAGGCTTTTTGGAAAGTCTAACTTCCAATCTCCATGTCTCATTGATTTAATCCCAGTCTGAGTCAGACTTTCTGGCTGGAACCAGAACCCCAGGAAGTCAATTCAGAAACACCTGCCCTTGTCTCACTCTGTGGTTTCAGAGCAATAACAACATGGAGGAAGTATTTCCTGAGATGACACGAGCAACTGCACAGAGATGCAATTGAAGCATCTTCTGTAGATGCTGTCAAGTGCCATTTCTGTTCCTCTGGCCCACATTTCCCTGACAGGGATCCAAACCATCTATCAGACTCGTGCAGGATCCCTGACTTTCTCTACATCTCCCCCATGACACTGCAAGGGCCAGTTCCTGCTCCCTGTCAGCCTGGAGTGCTCAGCACTCAGCATTCCCTTGGCAGTGACCTCCCAGGAGTCAGATTTGGGCTGCAACAAAAAAAAAGCTGCATCACACAAAATAAAGGACATGAAAAACCCTGAGGCTTTCCACTCCACGAGGTAAGCAGCCCAGAAATCCTCTAGATGTGCACCACCTCCTACACCAAGGACAGAGAAATTACCTAGCATCGCAAAGAAACCGTAAGTTCAAGCAGCATTTTAGCCCAAATTTTATGCTTTAATGAATCATTACAGATCCAAGAAGATGAAACTAAGTCATATTCCTCTGCTAACACAGAGCTACACCACCATGGAAGTGGATAACTCCTTCCAACATCCAGAGGCTGAATCTTCCAGTCAGTCAAACTACCTGCCATGTCCATATATTTAAGTGAGTCAAGTGCTAAATATAACATGATTAATGGTCAGACTTAAACCCAGCATTTAAGATCAATGTGACATTCCTGAACTTTCCCCTTGTTCTCTTCCCACTTTAAAAAGAGAAAGGGTATTGAATTTCCCTGAGCTCAACATCCACTGCCCTCCCTCCTTTTCTCTCTCCAGCTCTGCCTAGCCTCAGTTACCTCTTCCCAAAGGCAAAGGCTTTGCTCCTTTCTCCACTTTATGAACTTATCTCTGGTACCTATTTATTGCCAGCCTGTGCTGGATGGACCAGCAGCTCCAACTGACCCTAACCCCAACCCTCAGACTGTACACAGATTTGTTTCACAGACAATCAAGCCGGGAATAATGTCTCCAGAGAAGGGCTGCCAACAGGGCCAGAGCCCAGCTTAAATCCCCACCCCAGGAGTGTTCTGGATCATTGATCCCCTCGGCCGATGTCCAACTCCGACTGAGCAGCACTGCAGGAGGTGCTGCACCCACACCCGGCTCTTTTTCATGGAATCATGGAATGGTTTGGGTTGGAAGATACCTTCCATGTCATCTGGCTCCATCCCCTGCCATGGGCAGGGACACCTTCCACTAGCCCAGGGTGCTCCAGGCCCAGTCCAACCCTGACAGGGATGGAGGGGACACAGCTTCTCTGGGCAACCTTGCCAGAGCCTGACCACCTTCACAAGGAGGAATTCCTTCCTGATATCTACCTAATCCTGCCCTCTGGCACTGGGAAGCCACTGTCCCCTGTCCTGCCTCTCCAAGCCTTTGTCCCAGGTCCCTCTCCAGCTCTCCTAGATTTCCCTTTAGGTGCTGGCAGGGGCTCTGAGCTCTCCCTGGAGCCTTCTCCTCTCCAGGTGAGAACCGCCAGCTCTCCCAGCCTGGCCCCAGAGCAGAGGGGCTCCACGTCCTGCTGCTCTTGGGGACGCCAGAGCTGGAAGCAGCTCTGCAGGTGTGTTCTCACCTGGGCGGCGCGGACACACCCCAGGTACACCCCAGCTACACGGCACATCCGTCCCCGCTCGTTCCAGACCCACACACGTGGGCACCGGGATGCGCATCCCGGCCCAGGCGCGCTCCCGCCCCGCCGCCAGGGGCGCTCCCCGCGCGCTCCCG